AAAATAGGAGAGAAGGAAAGCGAATGGAAAAGGGCGGTAGAGCACTGTGTGTCGACCAAATCAAAAAGCGATAGTCGACACGACAACAATGTCAGTGTAGAATGAGAAGACAGAAGGAGAATAACGACGAAAAACGAATTTGATGTGATGTGATGAAAAACCCGAATGAAACAAGGCCGTCGCGGGCGCGTGCGCGTCAGCTGCAATTTTATCTTTGCTTCTCGTCGCTCACTCTCTCAATCTTGTTGTTTCTTATCGCTATACCATTACTACCAGGTGAATGAAGGTTGACGTTAGATGCATAGATTGATGGGACGAAAAAAAAAAAGAAAAATGCTTACGAAAGAACGAATGTAATTGCACTCCTATTTTTCTTTAAGTTTACGATAATGGAGACAAATGTAATAGAGATGAGTACACTCTGTATGTGAATATTTATATATGTGTATATAAATGTATGTTTTGTGATTGACTTTTGAACAATAAATGAGTCAATAGTAAGGCGCAACAAAACAGATCTGACCTTTATATATCCAATTGGTTGCGACGTTCATGTTTAGCTGATGCTGATAACCTTTTTGCCATGATGAGGAAAACAAACAATATGAAAAAATAGTGATCATGAAAAGCTTCCTCTACTAGATCGATTGATCCATGCGCGATTCAAACCTTGTCCATATTCTCTCTTCTTTTCTTCTTCTTCTCATATGAGACACGTCTCTAGCATGGTGGTTGATGTAATATAGATGCAATAATACAGCAGTTGTCGAATAGAGTGGTCTCTTTTTCTCTTTTCTTCTTTTTCTCTCGGTTGTTCTTACGTGTGTGTACGTGTACTATACTTTTTCTCATCGACCCCGTTGAATAGATGCCCAGTAACAAAAACGAACTGCTGCTACTGCTGCAACCACACACACATACTCGTACATGGTAGTTACAACGCAAATAGTCAAAAAGAAAAAAGCAAGGAAGAAAAAAGGGCCAAAGAAAGAAAGAAAGAAAGGAAGAAAGAAACAACGAATGAAGGAAGAGAAAACATAGCGAGTTATTCAACAAGAGAGAAATGCACGCAGACACGCACGCACAAGGCATTGGCCTTTAGAGCGAATGAGTGGGCCACTGCCATCCTCATAACGGCAGCATATAGACGATCGAGAAGAAAAGGAGGAGAAATACATGGAGACCCATACGTTTCGCGGACAGAACAAAGAGTGCTTGACGATCTTAGAAGAGAAAAATGTTTTCTTTCTGTTCTTCCTTGATGTTGTCGCTGTTGCATCTTATCCAAATGCAAGCTGACTGCTTTCTCTTACATTGTGATTGCACCATCGAACGATGCTATAGTATTGTTCTTTATTCCGTTTACCATCATAAATGGAGAAGACTAACCCAAGTGCACATTGCATTTTGTCTACGTGTGATTAGATTAAAAAACACGTACACCGACAAAAAAAACACAAAGTGATGCAAAATGAGGCTTTAACTATTATGGTGAGAAAGAGCGAATATACGAGTGATTTAGTTGTTGCTGTTGTTGTTTTTTATATATTAGTCTTATTATCATTCTTTGCACAAATGACGACAAATGGATAAATATATTTCTAAACTAAAACTACATTACCTTTTATAAACATTCATCTGTCGACTATTTTTTCATTCTCATAGACCTTAATATTTACCGACAGATGCATTTGAGTTTTTTTCTTGAACGACGGAAATTTGTTAAAATTTTTTTTTTTATCATTGTATATGTCGTATTTACGTACGTTTGTAAGAAGAAAAATGGTTGACGACTTTTCGAGAAAAATCAATGAGCTCGACGTGCAACAAGATTTAGAGAAACTGCGGAAGCAACAGAAAGACAGATATATGGCGGACGAGTACCGAACTACTATTGAAAAGAAAACGACTGAAAAAAAAAGAGTTGATAGAAAAGAAAGAGAAAAAAAATAGAAAGAAAGATGCTGAAAAAGAGCAAGAGCAAAGAAAAGAAAACTTGTGCAGAAAAAAGAAGAAGCAAACCAAGAAGAAGAAAGAAAACACGAAGCATCAAACAAAGAGGTAGTGCACCTTGCTTTCTTGTCCAAAACCAATTCAATAAAAGAATACTACACTTTTAATATTATCAAAATGTAAAGTAGTAAACGTTATATCTTTAGTTAAATTGATTTTCTAATCATTAAATTCAATTGATTTTAAGTATATATAAAGGGAGAAAAAACGGTCTTAAAATACGTATATTAAATACCATCCAACGCTTAAATCATCACGTACTTCATCATGCATGCACGTTCTTGAAAGAAAGAAAAAAAAAGCCTACCACAATTACTTGATTTTCTTATGTAAAAAAAAACATGTCAATCCTCATCTGACTCCTGTTCAGTCATACTCTCTTTGTCGACTTCATCAATTTTTTTTTCAATAATAATTTATTCAATAGATTACAATATGGGAGGAAAAAATCCTAGCAAATACTTAAGCTTAAAAAATGAACAAGAAGATAAAAAGAAAAAAGTAAAAGATTTAATTCAGACACTGTTTATGAACGAATGAGCATCATGCTTATTGAAATTCTTTAAAATATTTAAATACTTCTACTTCTTATTGTTTAAAAAACAAAATCTTTTGGAAGGTATTTACTATAAATAATAGCAGCTGATACTTTTCATTATTGAGTATATCATGTAGACTAGTGATGAAGATGGATGGGTTATCGAAACAGAAAAGTTGTAGACAAGAGAAAAAAAAACAGAATATACATAGTATTATAAGCAGATATTTACAATGCATTCAAGTCAACATGAAGATGATTGACAAACGAGCCCCAGGGACAACTATCATTTACTACATCGCTTCTCTTACGTACGTTAACGTCATAGAAATAGCAGATATATATATATATCCCTCTGGTCAAAATAAACGACACACATAATTTTGTTGATTATTTCTCTTCATCATTAACGTTAGGTTTTATATTTATATCATATACACATGTTCAATTATTGAGCTTAATCTAAAAGTTGTAGCTAAATTGAATAAGAATTTGTCGAGAAAATTACAAACTTGTCTTACGAATTTATCTGTCAGTGAAACTAAAATTTATTGTTCTACATAGATCTCTGTTACTTTATATTTTATATGAGACCTTGAGTAGTAGTTATTTATATTTTGAGCACGACTTGTAAAGAGAAAAATTTCAGGATATTTTCTTTGTCACCCAGTCATACTCAAAAGGTAACTAACTACTAATGAAGGCCTCAAATGAAATATAAAGAAACATAGGAATATGCAGAACAACAAATTTTTGTTCCGCTGATACATGAGTACATAAAACATTTTGTAGTCTTCTTGACAAGTTCTCATTCTGTAGGACTACAAATTTCAGAATAAGTTAAGTAATTAAACATGTATATGTAACATAAATACGAGACTCAACGGTAATAGTGGCGAAAAGTAATCAAAAACCGTTGGTGAATCGTTTATTCTGCCCCGAGGCATATTTATAGATATGTTATATCGAAGTTACATCGATTGACGAAATGATAACTTCTTTCTATAATTGTTTCAAAGTGACTTCAGGTCAACTAAATGCCAAATAATTATCAATAAATTGATCATACTAATAATCTTTCATTTTTATAAAACATACACATTAGTTTCTATAAATCAACATTAAAGAATCTATTCAGAGAAAAGAACAACGATTGCATTTTATTAATACTCTACATGATCGTCAATCTATTTTAATACCACAAAAATTTGGCGCTAATAAAATATATCTCTACAATGCCACACTCTAATATAAACAATACTTTAACTATTTATTAAAAAATAAAAATGCTTCATATAGGAACTAGTTAAATGATTAGCAGACTTAGAACTACATTTCCTCAAATAAAGACTTAATCTAATTGAATTTCTTTCATATCATTTATGTATCAGTTTGAAATAAGCTATACCAGTAAAGATAATTTCAACGAAGAACATATCAGATGGGTATCCTACAAAAAAGTAGTAGATAGATAAGTAAAAACCATTTGTGGCCTCAGAAAGCAATAGACGAAGTCGTATAAAGATTCTTGTATTTTTGAGATTTACGAAATGTATTCAAATAGTCGAATCGATCTTTCATAATAATTAAAATATTTTGACTGCATCAGAAAAAAATCAGAGTTCGAAAGATGTACTTTGCATTATAACCCAGTTTTTCCATTTTGACATTGTCTTCGCTTACATTCTTATCTAGAAATCCACTTTAAATTCATCATTCGTCTTACCATTGTATGTCAATATGAATCCCGAAGAACAAACAAAAATTGTAAAAACCCTAGAATACAATAAGTCGTGCAAGTCATTCTAATTTTTACGCTTAGCTAATATTAAAAGTAGAGCAGAGTATGGCAAAGATGTATTTCATTGACGACAAAAATTACTGTCATCAGAATAAATCGACAATCATAAAACTTAATCTTTGCTTTTTGAATAAACTCTTCTATGTTTATTTTAAAAAAATGAAATGAATGTTTTTAAAATAAAAAATGAATTATAAGTATTAATATCATCAAGTAATTAATAATTATTTGATATTATTGTTGATCTAAAGTAATTTCGAAATACTTATATAATGAAGTAATAACTTCAACAAATGATATGGTATAAGTTCGCTGTGACATATATATATTAACATTGTGTTAGTAAAACCTATCAGATGTTTAGCTGCAGAAGATGAGAAAGATAGAGAAGCAAAAAATTAACTACTCTATATCTTTTGATCTGTATACATACACAAAACAGACCGACGGTTAACAATATCAACCGTAAGATAAACTCATCATCAAGATGACAAGTATGAAAACAAACTTGAGACATCATCAGTTCCGTGGTTGTGTATCTTAATATTCACTATAATATCTTTTATATATAGACTTTGTTATGATTGACATGTAATTAGGAACATACAGTTGGGCAAATAGAATTTTCAGCAATTAAATATTTTGTTACTAAACAGAAAATTCGAATATACGAAAAAATAGTAACAACCATGAAATTGTCCAATTATAAATATTGGATAATAAAATTGTAAATGATGATATTGGTATAGTACTTGTACGAGATAATGTTGTAATCGGTACAGATGGTTTTGTTAGATATATCAGAAAATATTCAAGTAAATTATTAAGAAATATAACACTAAATACAACAAGACTAAACATTAGAATCATCCTAAAACGGAAAAATTAAATAATAATCAAATATAAATGTTATTGTTTATTTAATAAAATTAATCGAAATGAACACATCAGCAATATCCTCAGGCAATAGCTCAATGATACAATTATTATAAATATATATATCATATTTATTTATATAATTGTGTTTTCTTGTCAGACATAATTATCTATTTTGATTACATGAATTTGTTAGAATAATAATAAATTATAAATGTTTTTATTGTGTTTAATTACTAACCCAATAATTTTAAAGCGATCAAATCGATAATTTGGTATTAACATAAAAATAAATTGACAATGTTTTTTTAACCATGAAAAATAATGTTTTACTCTTTTCTTTGATATTGAACTAAGAAGATTCTCATCAATCTAAAAATAAATATTCAATTACAGTATATCTCGTTTTCTTTATCTTCAAAAATTAGAAGTTAAATTGTTAGTTTTTTTTTCTTAATATTGACTGAACACATAATCAACATTCGATTATATATCAAATCAATAGTACAAAAAAAAAACAGATGATAATAATCATCATTTACAACACCTAATTTTTAATACAACGTATTAATGAACTGATAAAGATCTTACATTAATCAATTCATGAGTTTTATTTATACTTAATACTCTTTCATGTCAGTCATTAAATAATCGTTCATGATTACATAAATGTGTGCTTATTGGTTGATATAAAAAGTAGTTGTTCAATTGCTCAAATGTTCTGTTGACGTTAGATAACATACATCACTTTATATTAGTACTGAAACTTTCAAGAACACATATTTTTTAATGTTAATTTACACAGAATTATGTTAATATTGATGATCAAATAATCAATGATGGTTTTTACTGTATTTAATTTAGAGATTATTAGTAATCAAGATTAATATATGTGAGAAAAAAAAATTCTTTTTCACTAGAAAAAGACAGCAATACGATGTAAATCTAACTATTGATTCAAATAAATACTTTATTTCTTATTTTTAATAAAACGATTTTCAAAGTTAAAAAGTTTTTTAAATATTCGAACTTTCTTTAGATGATTATTTATGAAAACTAAAATTATATCAAGGATATTCCTCATTATTGATTATTCTTATTCAATAACCTTATAGTTCGTTTACATGACATTTACTTCTTAATCTATCATCAATAAATATACTTAAAACAACATAATCATACTAAAATCACTCTACACAAGAGGATATTTAATCATCCATCTTATCATATTAATCATTGAGAATCAATAGATTATGTTATACAATACAGAAGATATAATTTGGTAAAATACCTTTAGATTATACTTATGATGAATAAGTATTAAAAATACTGTTGAATATTTTCAATGAAAATTTACTTACTTCAGACATGAATTTAGTGTGTGATCTGAAATTATTTATTTTTATTCTTAAAAAAAAAGGATTCATGTTTTCTTACCGTTGTGAAGATTTCAAAATAATTTCATGGAGTTTATAATTATCTGTTAGATGTGAGATAATATTACTTTCATTATTATCAAATTGATGATTAATTTTATTATTATCATTACTATTTACAGGAGAAAAATTATTTTCATCTGATTTTAATTTAGAATAATGTTCATCAGGATTAGTAGTTGGACATAAATCATCAAGAAGATTACTAAAGAAATAAAACAAATAAAATAAGAAACACAAAAGTTTAATTATCTCACATTTGATATTTTATTTGTTCAAGATCTAAAAATAATTTTTTAAAATTACAAAAAAGATGTTTCTGTTGTTACCATGTAATAGATGAAGACTATCTTTGGTCGTAGATAATTCTGGAGAACTAGAATGAATGTTAATTTATAACTCATATTTATTCATTGTAGTCTCAGATGATTATATTAATTAATTTTTATTGTATTATACAAACAAATCATAATCGAAATTTTCTAACTAAATTTTACAGCTTATTATACTAATTATATATTCCTACATGATAAAATGCCATAGGTGACTTACTTTTCTGTACAATTTTTAATTGATTCAACTGTATTACTTTGTAATTGTTGAATTTCAAATCTTGACCAAAATTCAGTATCCTTATATTAAAAGAAATTTTTACGTTAAAAAGATCAAATATATGCATAAAACTTGTGATTATACTTTAAGAAATTGTATACGTTGTTGATAAATAATAAGTTTATCTTTTAAAGCATCTTTAAATTTTTTTATTTTTTCATTTTCTTCAAGTAATGATTCTTTAATTATTTGTAATTCATCAATATTATTTTCTTTTTCTTTTGCTTCATAATAAGTCATAATAATTTCTGAAAAAAATCATTTATTACATGAAAGAATTATTGTATGCATTATACGAGATAAAATTTATGTACTTCGTTGTTTTTTCCGAGCATTGCTTAATAAATGTTTTGCTTTCGAATATTTAGCTGAATATTCTTCAAGATAATGTTGTCGAATTTGATAATTATCAACACAATTTAATGGAATATTTAATTTCGTAAGTAAAATGTTAGGTGACGGATTAGATTCAAGCGAATTCTAAAATCAAGAAAAGAAAACGTAGATTTAGAAATCAAAAACGTTTGTGAATAATTTGAAAAGAAAAAGAATTATTTTGATATATTAAATACGTTTCGTTGCAAAATTATTTTACCATTTGTGTGAGAGAAGCACTTATTCGAGTACCGTTTATCTTAGATATCGAATATTTATCACCACTCTCCATCATTTGAATCATATCTAACTTTGAACAATCAATTAATAATTAGTTCCTATCATCATCTAATAATATGTCAGAGAAGAAATACTTCAAATTCGCTGAAATGTTTGTCACGTATAGTAAATGAGCGTTATCCAATAAAATCAATAACTTCAAATAGTTACAATTAAAGAAAATTCATGATTCAGTCGCGCCAAATTTCAATTCTTTTAAAAAGAACTCTAGCTTATGATTAACGCAAATATTTTTTTAAATCAATAAATCCACTAAATGAGAGAAGATCATGTAATTTATTGTTACTAGTTTTATATCGAACAAAAAATATTTTATCTTTATAAAATACTTGTTTTGTTGAATATAATTCTCATTTTCTTCATATCATATATCTGAATGAAATGTGTCAAATACATTTCTTATGTTATTTCTACCGTTAATTATAAATAAATATATAATATATCTATTCTTATCACGTAATAACGAGAAGTGTTTTTCTGAAAAGGCCAGGAAATAAATTACTCAATAGTTCATTGATATATGATCATTTTTAACTATTTTTACATTGTATTAATAAGTCAATGAGGCAGTACACTTTCTATTTAATAACGTTATTCTCTTTTATGGTAAAGTTATTTAGAAATACAGTGTAAAACGGCAACATGACATTAAAGAGAATAAATAATTGAGTGGAACAAATGTTGATAAATGACAGATCTTCTTCTGATCGTTATATTCAACAGTTATTATTGTCAATCATATAAATTTCTGCACGTTTTTAGAAAAAAAACAGCAAAGATCTTATAATGATGGTCTATTTTAGGTTTAAATCAACGCAAACATTTTTAAATAACTTTTGATCGACTCATGTTATCAAACTCGGGGTTTCGACATTGTAAACAGCGAATTCTACGATGTCTACCTTTATAACATTCTTTAGGATCAAAAACTTTTTTCATGATTGTTGATACATTGATGTGTTTTCGTTCTCTATTTTTATAAATTTTCATGATCAATTAACCTCCAACTAGACCAGATTGTAGCTTAAGTTGTCTTGTATATGCGGCGAAATAATCACATTGTAAAATGATCTCGTCGCAGAAAAAAGTCGAAAAAGTACGATAGAGATGTCATTATTTTACTATGTATACAGAGCACTTTGAACTACAACACAGTTAAGGTTAAGGTTAATATATCATAAAAATCTATAACAATAGACAATGAAAAACATATCAGCATACAAACAGTCATGGAAAACGTCTTTTTGATTCAAACGAATATTATACAAATAGACGTCTGAGGACTAGCTCTTTACAATACTGAATACTGAACTCGATAACATCAGTCAATTAAAAGTTCTTCAAAAAATGTCCGCGCTCATTTTATTCTGCAATGGACAATAATAGCATTAATCCTTAGCATAAAATTATTTTTACTATTTTTAAATGTAAAAAAAAATAAGCCAACAAACTATTTTTAATGCAAGCTCTTAACTGTTGATACTATTGCAATATTACTTTTTTGTTTTATGTTTTAAAACTATATTTTTGTACTTGATATATGAATGATAAAAACATAGGCAACACAAGAGGATCGTGCATGGTTCTCTAACAATACTTCAATATTCAAAAGCTTCCAGTATTTAAGATGCGAAGGGTGTGGGTACAGATAGATAGAAGAATCATACTCGCACCCACACCCACACCACCCATCCCCGATAGAGCTCATCGAGTTGTACTTGGAACATAAATGGAACATCTGGAACATTATCCTGAACCAATCTCGGCTAAATTTACTATATCAGTACCAACATCATCTGCGGTGTGCCCGTATTCAGGGACTTTTTTCACACACAGTTTGAGCCACAGAAAATCTGAATATATCGTTAGATAGAACTCGTCGAGTTGTACTTGGAACATGAATGGAACACTTGGAACATGTTCTTGGACGAATCTTGGCAGATTTTATTATATAAAATCCAGGATTCCTGTGGTGATTCACTAGTATTTTTGAATTTTCTGAAGCACAGTTTGAGCTATGGAAAATCTGAATACACCATTCGATAGAGCTCACTGAGTTGTACCTGGAACATACATGGAACATGTCACAGGGCGAATCTTGGCAGGTTTTACTATATGGATGGAAAGTTGCCTATGGTGAAAATCTAGTATTTTCCGAATATCTCGGATTCGGTTTGAGCTATCGTGAATCTGAATACACCATTTGATAGGGCTCATTGAGTTGTACTTGGAACATGTTTCTGGACGAATCTTGGCGGGTTTTACTCGAATCTTGTGCTAACTTCACCTACGTGTAAAATATATTTCATAATAAAATCTTTATTAGGTGCATATGTAATATCTTGATGACGTACATGAGAAGTAAAAGTGAATAATTTTTTTTGTTCCCATAATGTTCTTAATCTAATAAGGCCTTCTTTAAGTTGTCTTGAACTATTCCATAACTCAACCTCAGGTGAATTTGGTTGAGAACTCATAAATGAACCTGATTCTTTTGGCTTAACTACTTCATCAATATCAGAATAGGTCATAATAAATGCATTTAAACTAATCATATTTTAACGATATATTTGATTTGGTACTCCACGTTCATTATTTATATCTGGAAGAAAATGACAATCAGATATAAATCTATTCAACTGATAAGGATCACGCCAATAATTTGCTACACTAATTGCATTTTGTACTGGATTTTCATATGCATATTTGGTAATTAAGTCACGAAATTCTGCAGGAAGTTGTAAAAGATAGGGTACACTAAAAACTCCTTGATATATACCACTTAATGTTATTAAATTATAAACAGGTAATGAACATCTTTCAATTGCACCACGTACAATAATACTTCCTTGAGAATATCCAACCATATTAAAACCTTGACGAAGATGTTCATCACTATTAACAATATCACAAAATTGTTCAACTCGTTTATGAATTGGTAATAAAAATGAATCTTCTTTACCATTACCGATTTCAACTGATATAATATAAATACCAGGAAAAGATGTCCGAATCCAACCAGCTAATTCTTTCATACCAGCAGCTGTGGATGATATACCATGCATTAGAACAACTGACCGGTATATTGAACTTGATACAACAGTTGTTGAAATCAATACACCAAAAACAAGACCAATCTTTTTTATCGTCTCTTCTATTCTTTTATTTATTCAACTAAAACAATTGGCTGTTTTTTTGGCTTTTATTCAAAAGAAATAGCCAACAAACATCTAGTAGTTCCCATATATTCTAGTTCGAACATTTGTTCTAAAACAATATTATCTATTGTTTTATTAAAAGACATGTTCAGGACAAAATATATCGCAGATTTATATCAATTGAAATAAAAACATGAAAATAATCTATATCTTCAAATTATTCATTTCTGATCAATGAACACTTCAATTAATTTTTTTATGTTTAGAATTTCTATTATATCCATAATGAAGCAACACAAAAATATCTAAAAATTTAATTCGTTGATGATCATGTCATATTTTATTTTTTTAGAACGAAATACAATTCTCAAACATGAATCTGTTTACATACAATCGGAGCATACATTACAGTTATATTAATAGTATATAAACAATCAAAATTAACTACGTATTTTTTGATATTTTATTATGCTGTGAAAAAAAACCTGCACTGAGGGTTGGGCAGATGTAGGTAAAAAGAAGAAAAACATGCACACCGTCACCCACACCCACTAGTATCATCAACACATTACATAGTTTGTGAAAACGCTTTCTAGAGAACTTTATTCAATGAAAATTAGAATATTTCGTGAAAAAAGCATTCTAATTATGAAAGAGAAAATTTCATCTAAACTTTCTATGTCAACAACATTTATATCCACTTTTAATGAAAAGTTAGCTTTACGTAATGCTGGGTTAAAAATAAACATAAGAAACTTGAACAACAAATATATAAATTGTAAAATGTTTCCTCGTCTGAGTCTATGGGTTTTTTTAATTCAAATTGAATTTTGAAAAAAAAATAACAGCCCATTTTTACCAAGGCAGAGGAACTAAGGGGACTAAGAAATTCTTTAAATTCAGAATGGAAGAATTCTTTGGTATCTTGTCTCCTGTTCCTTATAAGAAAGGCTACTATGGATACATACATAACATATATAGAATTCAGTCGACATATGGTATATCTATAGTACCTTTTTTGAGGGTGGGCTAGGAGGACTAAGGGGACTAAGGGGACTAAGCTGACTAACTAAGGGGACTAAGGGGACTAACTAACCGGCCTAAGGGTAGGAATAATGGTGTACACAGAGACGTGCATGGGTCGCGGCTCTTCGGGGGGCGCTTCGCGCCTCCACGCCGCGACGCTGAAATAAAAGGTGTGTTAGGTGGGGAAACACGCTTCCTCACTGAATAGTCCCCTTAGTCCCCTTAGTTAGTCAGCTTAGTCCCCTTAGTCCCCTTAGTCCCCTATTTCAATTTGAAATCAAGTGCTCTTTTTTCTTTTTAAATTCAGATTGAATTTAAATAACCCATTGTATGCCTCGTCTTGACGTTCAAGTTACATTATTGTATTCATTCCTAACAAAACAACAAATAGAATAAAACCAGATTTATTACCGACTGAGCCAACATACCAATTGTCCCTTGATCGTTATAAGAAGTTACGTTTGATTAGTACTTCAAGTCGATTTTCGATTAATTCTAGATTCCACAGAAAACGTGCTGAGTTTACAAAATACATTTCATTAATTAGTACATTATGTTCTATGACTTCATGTGTCTTCGTTATTCGTACAGTTGTGTCATCAATTTCATGACAACAATCTACGACGATTCTATTTTGAGTTTCTTCCTGCTCCTGAAGGCTTTCAGTTTTCTTCAAAATTGAAGTCACTTTTACAGAGTAACTTTTTGATACAAATGAATCATTGACATGAACTCGATCAGTCCATTGAATATTGTTGCTTTTAGACTCTTTAAGAAGTATTGGCTCTGTCGTCTTACTCATAACTAACGGTAATAAAGCATACTTAACATGTTGTTCATTGATATTCGTTTCTTGATCAATTTTCTTAAATAATAAATAATGCAAATTATTTATATCAAATAGTATTGCATATATGTGAATAGTTCATTTTCATTTTTTAAATATTTTCATCAGTGAAGTAAAATATTAGATGAAGTTTATTTCAATTTCTTGTTTTTAGTGAAGACTAGCCTCAAATGGCTACGACTCTTTCCATGAAATAAAATTAAGATGATCATTTGATAAGTCAACACTTGTGTTAAATGTTTTTGTTCGCTCACCTTTTTTATCAACCAGTATGGTCCTCCATTTTCATTATCGTTGCTAGATTTATTACAAAATATTGTAGCTAAATCTACTGCAATAACTATCTAAATACTTAAATAGCTGAATGCTTATTTAAAAAGTATCTCTTTTGAGAAGCTACGTTCTCTTTCTATTATATGATCATTCTAATGATACTACATAAAATAAAAAAGACCTAGAACATGAGCAACAAAAAAACTACATGATGAATAACAATAAATCCTGGATAATAGAAAATAAACACCCGTATTATATTATCCAAGAATTTAATGTAGGTGAAGTTAGCAAAAGATTCAAGTAAAATTAGCAGGGATTCGTTCTAGAACATGATCCAGATGTTCCATTTGTGTTCCAAGTACAACTCGATGAGCTCTATTCAATGATGTGGGTGTGGGTATTGATGATGGACTTACTCTGATGTCCATCCACACACACACCGGCAGCCACACTTCTACCCACACCGACACTGCTTGATAATTAAGAAAAACAAGATAAACTTGAAGAAATAATTTATTGAACAAAAAAAAAACTAATCAACAAGATGAAAGAAGAATCATCAAGATGAAAAACGAAGAAAGGAGAAAGGAGAAAGAAGAAAAAACAAAAAAAAGAAAAAAAATTTATGTATCCCGACGCGTATTCATTCTTCTTATTTCATATAATATAATCAATAATATTGCATTTTGATTATTAATTAAATTGTTAATGGAATCGTTATAACTATTGACTGCATTTTGAATTAAATTAAAGTTAGTAATTAAATGTTGAATTAAATTATTCAGATTATTGTGGGTGGGTGGTGTGGGTATGGGTGTGGGTGGGGTGTGGGTGTGGGGTGGGGTTTGGGTGTGGGTAAGGGTGTAGGCTGTGGGTGAGGGTGGGTGGTGTGTGTGAGGGTG